TATCTGTGTATTCAAAGTGGTTAGGATAGATATATAGTTACATTCTCTTAATGAATAGAGGGATTTGGTCTAATAGTGTTTGTAAATAGGATATCACATCCGCATCTTATACAGCAATTAACCATTAGGAAGAATGCATACAACTGTTAATTATTGAAACTGTCCTACCAATTTGGTTTGAAACCGTCTCATTGCTATTTGTTTCTCAATAAAATTATGGGAAAATAAAATAAAAGCATTTTAAGTTGTTGTTTCTAGATAATTGTCCAAGAAACACCTCGTGGTGTTATTTACTGCCTGTGGTGGAATGTTTGGATCTAGAAATTCTAGATTCTAGTGTCAGCTGCCCCTTATAAGTCCCCTGCTCCACTGCTCTTTGCCTTTCCCCACTGCCCTGAACCTGTTTTCCTAGGACTGGCCTGCTACAGCCAGATGCAGGGTCAGCCTCTGCTCTGAGCTGGACCAACCTCTTCCCTATAGCCTGAGTTTTGGGTTCATAACCACACAGTGCTTCCCTGTGTTACTCCACCCCAGTGGTTGAGAATCACACAGAGTGTGGCACAAGGTGAGAGGGTGAGGTGGCAGCAGCGACTCTACCAACAGTGAGGGCTGGCGTATCTCACATGTTTTGGTTTACTGGAGACCTCCAGAACCTGTACTTCTTTGCTGGCCTAAACTGCATTTTTGAAGGCTGGTGAGATAGCTCAGTGGTCTAAAGCACCTGCTTAGGCAAGCATGCAGGGACCTCGGTTCGATCCCCAGCACCACATGCCATGCCAGCCCCGCCCACAGGGTGGGCTGAGGTGACCATAAAAAAGAAAAAAATAAATAAAGGAAACATTTAAGGAAAAAAAAAGATTAAAAAAATTAAACTGCATTTTCAAGAAAAGTATGAACAGCTGGCATTTGGAAAATAATCATACACTATGTAACTTTTCCAGTTATATTCTGACAACTGTTTGATTTTATTTCAGCACTTGTAAAAAAAAAATGCAGTTATCATTTTAGAATGTTTAATTTTTAGACTCAAAAGAGTAATAATAATCATGTTGCTGCTTGTCTCTGGCTGGTTTGAAACACTCCTTTGGGGACAGTATATTCATGAGTTAGTGCGGGAAGTTTCTATACACCATTGAGAATATAACTGGGAATGTTACATAGTGTATGATTATTTTCCAAATGCCAGCTGTTCATACTTTTCTCGAAAATGCAGTTTAAGCCAGCCAAGCAGTATAGGTCCTGGTCTCCAGTAAACCAAAGCATGTGAGATGCGCCAGCCCTCACTGATCTTTCCATATTTCCACCTTTACATAATGATGTCAATATACTGTAACTCCAGGATAAATTCCAAAAAATGATACCCAAACCATGCTACAAAACTGGCATGATAAAGAAACTACCACTGCTTCATGGGTCCAAGATCTCCTTTTGGGATGATGAAATGTTTTGGAACAAGATAGAAATGGTGGTTGCACAACATTGTGGGTGTACTGAATGTTACTGAATTGTATTTTAAAATAGTTTCAGGTTATGTGGATTTTAGTAAGAATATTTTTTTAAAGGCAAGGAAAAAAAAGCACTACTGTTAAGTTCCTGACTTACAAACATTTAAGCGGCAAACTTTCACAGGTGTTCTCTATCATCTTTGTTGGACTTAGGAATGAATCCAACTTAATGTTCTTTTTATATGGAACTCATTCCTAAGTTGGGGACTTATTGTACTGATTTTATCTCTGCCACCTCTGAGCATTAAAATCTCAGACCCTGACTTTACTGTAGCCACTAATAGCTCCGACACTGTTTCTGTACCAGGAACATGACAACTGCGAGGCTCACTGAGAGCCGGCTACACATGGTATAGCTCATGCCAGCATATGGGAAACTGCGCAGGGCTTTGCTTCCTGTTGCCAGGGCAATGTTTTTAACTGAAAACTGAGGTCTTGAGGTATTGATCTGCATCGCAGAAGCAAAGACACAAGGAAGCAAGACTAGTATCACAGAGATTCACTAAAATATACGGTCCATTCAAGATTGTGGACCTCCACAAACACAAGCACTCAGCACATCTTCCTTGCCATCTGTGGAGGTTGAGATTTTAAATTACAAGAGAGGCTGGAAGAACATTTGCCTAGCACATGAGAGGCCCCAACTTCAATCTCTCTCACTGAAGGATAAAAAGTAATGCTAGAACTAATCAAGGTAGTAGTATTCTTTAAGAGTGAAAAAAAAAAATCCTTCACAAGTATTATTTTTAAAGTCTAGGCCGGGAGATGGCTCAGTGGAGTAAGCACTTCCCTGGCAAGTGCAAGGGCCTGAGTTCAATCCCCAGTCCTGCAAAAAAAACCCTTACAGCAATTAACCACTAAGAAGAATATATGCAGTGTGTTATTTGTTGAAACTGTACTTCCGATTTGATTTGAAACTGTCTCATTGCTGTTTATCAATAAAATTTTGGAAAAAAAAAGTCTATTAACTACAAAATGAATTATTGGGGAGCCAGGTATAGTGGTGCATGCCAGTAATCCCAGCACTCTGGAAGGCTGAGGGACGATCACAAGTGCGAGCCCAACTGGGGTAACTTAGGGACTTATCAAGACCCTGTCCCAAAATAAAAAATAAAAAGGGCTGGAGATGTAGCTGAGTGTACAAGTCCTGGTTCAATTCATAGTACTGCAAAATACTAATTATTGGGGTAAGAAATTGATCATAAATGGTTAAAAGTACCTCCAGCAAAACCGTATTTGCAAGCCACCTAACTCAGACCTGATTACCTGTCCTCTGAAGCTTCAGTGTATACAAATGAAATTGGTCACTGCCTTGGTTTCCACGCTAATTAGGTATTTACAGAACCACAGTGGGACCATAAAACTAACTGTTCTTCCCCTCTCTGGAGTTCTGCTCAGGAACTACTGGCTTCAACAACAGAGGGAAGCTGTTGTGCCCATATCCTAGCAAGGCAGCAGCACAGGATGCTCTTTGATGAGAAGTTGAGTTAGGACTTTCAACCAGTGCAGGTATAGAGGAGTGCTGATTCAATTAAGGCTTTTCCTACAACTACTCATATTGTAAAAGTTACTCAAATTTCAAATTTTATAGGTTTTCAAAGTCACACAACCAATCTCTGTATGCAGTAAGATGGTCTTTTGTGGGATGTCTGGATAATGAGAGCTAGGACAATCCATACAAATCCTACCTCCTTCTTCCCAAAATACACATCAGAAATTTAAATTCCAAACAACTCCTATATAGAAAAATAAGATTTAAAGTTTTCAAATAATTCTTCTACTGAAAATCCTAAGATTTAGTACAAGTTCTTGAATGTTTACAGAATAGTGAGTCTATGGATGTGAGACTGTTTAAAAGGCATAATTTTTAAAAACCTAAGTTGATTCAGTTTATTTCCAAATTAGTTTCATGTTTTCTGTTTATTTCCATACGGAAGACATTTTACAAAATAAGAAGCTAGATTTTCACTTCTGAAATTTAATGTAAAAACTTCACAGTTCAAGAAAGCAATCATTATTAGGTATAGAGACATCGAAGGCCAGCAGGCATTTTAAGTATCGGGCAGAAGAATTTTGCTATCCCTTCCTTAAAAATGTTGGCACATTCACTAACTGCCCAGGTTATAAAAGTCAGCATTCACTTTCAATGTAGTTTTATATTTTCCCTGCCTAGCATTAATGCCGGTAGACAAAAGAGTGTATTCAAGAAACTAAAAACCCTTCCTGAGGAAACCAACCAGGAAAAAGCTCTCCAAGAATTATTTTTATCCATTACTACAATAATAAAGTAGAAAGGAAAGGTGTTAACCTTAGAAAGCCAAAGGAAAACATTTTCACTTCCTTTGAAAATATTGTTTCTTAGCTTTTAACTATTTAGAAAAAACAATTTTCTTGGGGTAGGAAAGACTATTTCATAAGTAAAAAGATCAAGTTTAGTTGTACAACTATTTTTTTTAGGAAAGAGTATTTTAATTCAAAGGATTCCAAAATGTCTCATCCATACAAGAAAACTGTAATGAACTGAACTAACATATAGTCTACTGGCTTCCATAAAGTCTATGCTAGAAACAGTAGTAGCTGAGGGAAGGGACGTACCTTTTTCAGCACTGAGTCAGATCAGCTATGAAGCCCTGAGTCACTGGCAGTCTGTGAGTCTCATAATCCTTTTCTCTTAAATGAGGGCCAGGAATAATATCCCCTCCAAATCTGCAGATTTACATTTTTTTCTAACAAGTACAAGAATTCTACTTTGAGGTATATGATTTAACTTGTCAAAAAACTGTACCTACTTAAGGTGCATGGTGTGACAATCTGATACATATGTAAAATGCGTAGTTCTAATGAACCTCCCTACCATCTCACAAGATGAGCAGTGACGTTCACAGCCTCCTGGTCTTGCAGGATGGTGTGATCAGCAGAGACAGCCTGGGCCCTGGCTCCAGCTCTGTGCATCTCTGGGTCACTCTGTACCACTTGCCCTTTAGCATTCTGGTTTGAAGACCAATAAAGTTATAATACTATCTCAAAGTACTTGTAAATTACCATACAAATGTAAAAGATTGTTGTAATAAACACAAGCTGAGTTTTCCCTGACAACAGAATTTAGGCAATTTAAGAAAATATATGTTCTTTCTTGTCTCTTAAACTAAAAACAAGATGACCCTTTGGTGCCAAATAATTCTCCTACAGTGTTTTGTTCTCTTGCTTCTAGTGATACATCTAATTGCACCAACTCTGAGATCAGTTTATGTCCTAAGGGTCTAGAAATCTGACCTCTAAATAAGTAGAAACCAAAACCTAAGGATCTGTTACTTCAGAGCTATTCACTTTAAAAGAGAAGTTCTAATCAAGCAAAAATCACACACATATTTGGAAATGTTTTAAAAACTGAGATCCCTGGGCTCCAGTGCTAGGGGTTCTGATTATATCTGAAGCAGGACCCAGAAAAACCCTATTGTTTTTAAAAGCTCCCACACATAATCTCAGCAATTAATTCAGTTTTGGGGACTTGATGCTTTGCCCTAAATTTATCCTCTGTAATTTTTGTGCCTCCTACGCTCGTTTTCCTTGCATTAATCACACCTGCCCTTGGATCAGACTGCCATGATCTTGCCTTAGCTCCACAGGAAGCTCGTCCATTAACATCTTTTTCAATCAAATTATAAAATGATCAACTGAGTTCAGACCTAAGACGACAGATGTAAATATTGAAAGGCTGGTTTCTACACCTACACCGGCGTTACACTTTACTTGTAGTTGGTCACTGATAAACATGAAAAGCATTTGATCAGCACTATATAAAAGATGGCAGAACTCCAAATAACAGAAAGACAGCTAACCAGCTAATAAGTATTATTTAGAAAATGCTTCTAGAAGACATAAGTGAAACATATATACATTTAAAAGTACCCACTTCTTATATAAATCCAAAGGCTTCCAAGGTTCTGAAGTCGACCATAAAGAATAAAGTTGACCAAATTACAGTTGTTTAAAAAATATGTTCAATTAATTTTGCAAATATACATGTAAAATAGGTGTACCCTTATTCTTTAGGAGGTTTAACAGGCACAAATAGAATTCAGTTTCCATTTATTCTACCCAAAAGAGTTATTTGTGAAAATGACACACAAAGCATTTGGTATAATACAGTTCTGAACAATATCTCTTCCAAATTTAACATCAAATCCACACTTGGACTTTGCAGGTGTCCCAAGTGCATCAGGTGCTGCGGAACGTTGTCATGTCCTTTGGCTCTCTGCTGGGGACACACCAGTCATCAGCCTCGTGGTTGGTATTGTAATGCTTCCAGGCAGCTTTGTTATACACTGGGAGTCTTTCGATTGATTCTGTTGACAGAGCCTGAAAATAAAAAGGACCTCTGAGTCTGCATTTTTAGGAATTAATTTTTTGAGAAAATATTCAACATATGCAAAAAGATCACAGCAAATTAAATAGCCCTATTGTCTTGTTAATCACAATGGATTGAAATTTTACATGAGTATAGTAGATGCCTCTTAGAAAGCATCAGCTAGACCAGAAGTTACATACTTGAAAAAGTCAGCTAAGTATAAAGCATAAAAAATGGACATATGAACCTTAATATATGTATATAGATCTAATGATATCTACTTTAATAACTTACTGGTAAAAATGTTTTTTTAGGATAATGACTATATGTTTAAAAACTTAACATTTATAGGACCAGCCAAATAGCTCAGCAGATTAAAGTGCCTGTAAGCAGGTGCAGAGACCAGGGGTTTGATCCCCAGGCCTGCCGTGCTGGTCCCGCCCCTGGGGTGTACAGAGACAGCAATTGAGGCTGGGCGTGGTGGCGCACACCTGTAATCCCTTCTCTTGGGAGGCTGTAAACAGGTGGATCACTACTGAATCTGATCTAACAGTGAGACCCTGAATACCCTGTAGACCCTTCCCTAAAATTAAAAAAAAAAAATTACATTTATTTATTTATCTAACACAGGGTCTTGCTCTGCACTTCAGACTCATAGTGATCCTGTCTCAGCCTCCCCAAGCACTGGGATTACAGGTGTGTACCACCATACCCAGTGTAGAGGCCTGCATGGTGCCCCCAGGGTTCCAGGGCTGGTATGGCATGTGGTACTGAGGATCAAATTCATGATTTTGTGCTTGCCAGGCAGGCATTTATGCTGCTGAGCTATCTCCCCAGCCATAAAAACTCATCTGAATATTTTTTTCATCTTACTATTATTTTTTTTTTTAATTTTTTTGCAGAGCCAGGGATTGAACTCAGACCCTTGCACTTGCCAGGGAAGCGCTTATTCTACTGAGCCATCTCTCCGGCCCCTTTCATCTTACTATTATTAACAGCCATGTGGGACAGTACAGGCCTGTAAAGCCTGACTACTTAGGAGATTGAAGCAGAAGACTGCAGAGGTCAGCTGGGCAACCCAGCAAGACCCTGTTTCAAACAACAAAAGGGTTGAGGATGTAGCTTAGTGTGATGGTAATGTATGTTTAAATTAATTTTAATTAATTTAATTTAATTTTAAATCGGTAAATATAAAACTATGTTTATGGCATCTTGGCTTTTGTGTGAACAACTGTGTTTTCTTCTGTCATTAAAGTCATCAATTTTAATGATCTCACATCTGATTGCTGAATTATGCATGATTTCATGCTTTCAATATGTCACTACCATTAATACAGTTCTATTTCATCTTTCTGTAAATCACTGCAAACTATGACAAACTACATTCTAATGCACAGCACTAATGCACAGCAGTTGCCTAACACATGCAAGACCCTGGATGGCTCAGTAGAATAAGCACTTGCCTGGCAAGTGCAAAGGCCTGAGTTCAATCCCTGGTTCCAAAAAAAAAAATTATTGCCTTTCCCCTCCCCCCCCGAAATGGAACTAAAACTTTTCAATTATGTGTTCTCTTTAATATACTGTTGAATTTGATTTATAGGCTAGATAAAATTGTCACATTTGGTGATAAAAAATTTCACTGATGTTGCCATTTTTAAGTTCCTCATTACTGACATGGTTAAGGAAAAGCAAGTATTATCTACAAAGAACTTACTCTTTTTCAGATGAATTTATTTTTTCTCAAATTCTCCAGCATTTCCTATAAAACTGGTGCCATCTAGTGGTCAGAACAAGCAAAAGGCATCACTAAATAGGCACCAGTAGTCCGTGGCTTAGCTAGGGATTTTCCATTCCTGCAAAATATACTAAGCTCCCCATAAGTGCACTGAACATCACGTATCAGCAGTGCTTCTGCTCCCATCAGGTAAGCTAAATGCTTACTAAGTCACCTGTGCTTGTTCTCAAATCTGTTTATACACTGACATCTGTCACTATAGCTGTTAACAATTAAGTGTTATAATAAAGCGCATGTGCATGTGCGCACACACACACACACACACACACACGGGGAGGGTACCTTTGAAAATAATGAATATTTTAGAAGGATTCATGAGGAAAAATCATACACACAAAAATGCTATCAAGCTGGGCGTAGCAGTGCACACCCATAATCTCAGCCATATGGGAGGCAGAGAAGGGAGGACTGCAAATTTGAGCACAGTATGGACAACTTAGAAAATTAAGGAATACAGCTGTAGCTCAATGACAGAATGTTTGCCTAGCATGCACCAAGGCCCTGGGTTCAATCCTTAGGAACGCAAATAAATACAAACAACAACAAATCACCTGCTGTCAAATCAGTCAGAAGACACCTTCAAAGGATTACAAAAAATTCCCAAAGGATAACACACAATGTTATTTGTTTTAAAAAAAACTGAAATGGTACATTGTGAGTATAACTTGTACAGGAAAGATAACACGTAGACCCCTATACACATTAGAAGATTGAGTGGACCAACATCCATTCATATCCTTCAGGATGAAATTACATATGCATGGTGTTATGGTTTATGTCTAGGTGTCCCCCCAAAGCCTCATGCAGTCATGGGGCAGACTTCTAGACTTTGTGATTAACTCATGATTCACTGGGCTTATGGGTGTGAGTGCTGCACCCAGCCTGGGACTCATAGCCTGAATGCAAACTAAGGGAGACAGACTTGCTCTCTGTGCCATTGTTGCCATTGTTACTCCTCCCATTTGCTCTTGCTTTTCACTGCTACCATGAACTGTTACTCTCTGCCATGTGCCACTCTGCCTTGAAGCCAGCTGAATATGGACTGAAACCTCCAGTAACTGTGAGCTAAATAAACCTTTTCTTCTTTCATTTTAGGTGTCAGGTATTTGTCCCAGCAACAAGAGAAAAGTAACTGAGACACATGGCATATAACTTTATGATTCCTCAATTTTTATTCCAACTACCAACCACAGTCCTGATCATTGCAGGTAAGCATGTTTCCACAATCAAGAGGATCAACTGCCAAAACAAGCAAGATCGCTTGTAAATGTTTTTGTATTCAAACAGAATGAGGTAGAGTAAAATTTCTTTATAATTAAATTTGGCATTTTTGTTCTCACCAAAAAAAATGTGGTTAAATCAAGGACACTGGTTATTACCTTAATGTAGATAACAGCATCTGTGCCATAGCCCTCCAAGGAATACAGTTTCAGGTCCCCTTGGAAGTACTGTGCATACAGACGTGATATGGGCAATCCATAACCAAAACCAGCCTGTTTGATGAAAAAAACAACACCCTACTCAGCCACACACGGAAATACTTTTCTTTCTTTAAATACTTTTCTAATTATGATAAATTCATCTAGGATTCTCCCCAGGGCTACCTAAGCCCACATGTGACAGACTTGCTAACATCTAAGTGTCAATAATGTTAGCTGAAGGGCCAGAAAGACAGCTCAGTGGCATAAGCACCTGCCTGGCAAGCAAAATGTCCTCAGTTCAATCCCTGGTACTGCAAAAAAAAAAAAAAAAAGTTAGCTGAATAATACATTAGCTCATCTTTATGACTACATATAACTCTTCATTCTTTCTATAACATGACTTCTGGTAGTTTAGAAAAAGCAGATTGCTTTTCCTTACTGGCTTGCTCTAGAGTATCCTTTTGGTAATATTATATAAAATATATTCTCTCTTTTTAGGAGCAAGAGTAGAAAAAACTTTGCTGCAGCCTTAATAGGTGTATCTCATGACGTCACGCCACGCATTTCCAGCTTGTGTCCTGAGCCGGAAGTAATCTATCTCAGGTCTACTTTCTTAATTCTCATTGACAGGTCACTTCCTTGCTTAAAATCTTCAAAGCATACCACCACCCCAACTCTCCCAACTCATTTCCTTAGTGATAAAAAGCTAAGCTTCTAAAAAGAGCTTTCAAGACTTGATAAGATCAAGTGCCTGCCTCCCACTTTCTCATCTAGCTGAACCGTATCACCAGCCTTTAGGTTCCTTAAACAGATCTCTTCTGTGTCTGCCTTCATCCAGCCCCCAGTTCCTTGTCCTTACCCAAATAAACCCTAACTCTTTAATATAAAACAAAACATAAGAATGAAGGTAAAAAGGTTTCTATTACAAAGTTATATGGTCAGTGACATTCTACACAGCATATTAAGAGTGTACTTGGACTTAGGAATCAGTGTGCTATTAACAAACCTCTGAACTGGTTTTACCTTCCAACCAATTCTTGCTCAACTTTTCTAACCAGAGTTTCTTTTTATTCTCCAAATTAACTATCCAGTTTCCACACGTTTCTCTGCCCAGGCAGGCTGAGCTGAATGGATTATGTCAATGGATTCCCATGCCATTGGCTTCCTGAGGGTCCTGCCACTGAGGCAGCCCACAGAGGCCAAAGGAAAACAAGGCAGGCATTCATTCCCCAGGTTTCTCTGAACTTCTCCTGCTTCTAAGTTCTGTTCACTTTGTCTTCTCTTTATCCCTTCAATCTAGGCTTTAGGGGAGCCTTTTCTATGCCCGACCTCTATTTCCTTAAAAATTCACATAAATCCTATACCCTAAAACAGTAATTGTATGGCATTTATTATGAGCTAGGTACTATAAAATCATTTCCATATTCATTAATTCATTTAATTCTCACCATAACTCCGTTCTTCAAGTTGGGAGACTGTGAAGTCAGTACTGGGCTCCCAAAGCCACACACCTCTCTAATGTGGCAGAATAAAGAACTGAAATAGCTTAGATTCCAGAGATAGGCTAGTTCCCGATGCTACTTTCCGCAGAAATTCCACAGTACCTGCTTCCTACCAACCCAGCATCTCTCTTCTTGCTCCCTCTCTCTATTTCTTACAGTAAAACTAAAATTCTAGAAAGACGCCTAGGCTTATCATGTGCCTGTCTCTGGCACACAGATTCCCACTCATGGAAGCTGCAAGTCTCAAATGAAGCACTTTCCTCAATTATTTCAAACGTTTGGCAAGATGAGAGCCCCAGAATGTGTGCAGTGTCACAAGGAAAAGTATCAGAATAACATTCTTGTGGTAACTTCCTAGAAAGGGGTCTAAAATAGATCCTTCTTATACCATATTTCATCAGGTTATAGCTTGACAACAATGAATATGCAGAAGTTGTGAAGCCTAGAGGAATGGAGTTCTTCTAGAACTATAAGATAGAGATTCGGCAAAGTACTATTTTGTGAGATTGGAGGTAAGGATAGTATAGTCAATTCAAAAGCTGATCTTTGTAAGCCCGGAAATAGATGACACTAAGCTCAATAAAAGCACCACCAAAACCATTACAATTTGAGTCTATTTCACACTGGTGATAAAACATTATCAGAATTTTAATCTTATTTCTAAGTCTAGAATGTGACATCTTTCGAATTACAAATATTTTAGGAAAAAAGCCAACATTAAGAATTTAATCAGGGGCCGGGGAGTTGGCTCAGTAGAATAAGCGCTTCTCTGGCAAGCTCAAGGGCCTGAGTTCAATCCCTAGTTCCGCAAAAAAAAAAAAAAAAAGAATTTCATCAATGTCAGGTCGAGGATGTAGCTCAGCGGCACAGTGCCTGCCTAGCAAGTGCAAGGCCCAGAGTTGAATTCCTGGTACCAAATAAGAAAGCAGGAAGAATATATCAGAATATAGTAATCAAATACTATTAAAACGAGGTTATTGTTCACATTACAAATAGTACACCCGATATGGTTTAACATAGGAATTCACCATCAAGCTCACCAGCAGGAACTCTAATAAAACAGTCATCTTTCCTGTGCCCATCTCAATTTTTTAAAAAGCGCTCTAAAGACTGTTTCAATTTTGAGGCAAGTATGTGTTTCTAAGCACTTCCCTTCCTCCTTGTGGAACACCTTATACACCTAGCTGAGCTGCCAAAGGCGATCCACAGAATCTCAATTCGCTGTCTCTGGATCACATACCAGGGGTGCTGCTCGAGAAGTCTCCACTCGTGGCCGGGGTGCAGTCGAATACATGTAGTTGAAGAGTCTGTCAATCTTCCTCAAAGGGACACCACCTCCTCGGTCACTCATCTGAGATTAAAAGAGGATCATGCTCTATAACTGTCATAAACAGCAAATTACCAACATGTACACAGCATCATGGTTTAACTGCTGGAAGAAGAGAGTTGTTTTCAAAGTAAATACCACACAGTCCAAGCTGCAAATAAAAATACTTCATTTCCCTTGGTCTAGCAACAAAATTCCTTCAATATGTGCAATTCTAACACTGTACCTACACAAAGCACTGCCGTGGCTTTCTACACCTGTGTTTCTTGAAGCACCAGTACCATGGCATGACAGCACAGAACTGGACCTAAAATAACCAGTCTATCAGTCTGTAATTCCCTTCTCGTAGGCAGTAGTAACTAGCATCAAATTAAAAGTGCAAGTACTCTCTGACCCTGCAATACTACTTCCAAAAATATATTCCAAGAAAACAAACAGAAAAGTATGCTAACTTTGTGTGACAACAAGTACCACAGCTCCGAATACCTCAAACTGAGTAACAATCTAAACAGGAGGTTACTTAAACTGCACCCTAAAATAGAATATTTAGAATACTATTTAAATATTATGAAGAACAGACAGGTGTGATAGTGCACACCTATAATCCTAGCACTTGGAAGGCAGAGAAAGGAGGACTGTTCCAAGTTTAAGGCCAGCCTGGTCTGTCCATGTCATTAAAAATAAATAAACTTTGCAGAACTATACATTAGCTTGAGAAATGTCTATGCAACATTGTTGGAGAGCAATGAGCAATACAAAGTATCTGTAATTTTTTTTTTTTTAATTATTTTGTATCTTCAGAGAAGTGTCTACAGGGTGTTCGGGGTCTCACTACTAGATTGGACTTGTAACCCTTGGACCGCCCCCCACCACTCCGCAGTGCCTTCCCCACCCCGCCCGCC